TCTATATAAGCTCATAGGAATCGAAGCGCGACTCAACAGTTATGCGATAGTTTAGTCGAAGGAATGCGCGCTCTAAATATCAATATGGCAGTATTAGTTGGGTATACAAGTCTAAACAAGGCTCAATAAAACGTTATTGCGTTACCCAGTGTACTGTGTCAGTCATCAAACACGTTGTAGAGATAAACTACGCCATGCGGAAATCTGTAAACTTAAACTATGAATAAAGTTATGTTTCGATGATATGTGTAGAAACTTAACGGACATTTAAGTCACGGGGTGAGACATAGGATGGGGAAATATCTATCTGTGCATCTTTTCCGTCGATTTAAAACAGACAACGCATTAGCAATTACTGATGTCTATGGGCAGGCTTCGCTCTTTCTGTGAATTGCTCGCTTTTATCTATACATATAATAAAAGGGAGGGTTCGTATGTAATATTGAATGAAAAATTTCAGATAATAAAAATAGCATTTTAAAATTTTCTGTCTTTCTGTCTGTCCGCAAGCCACGTTTGATTCGAGGGTAGCTGATATGGACGGGCATATTATAGGCTACTTTTTTTTAAAATTCTGCGCTACGAAGTTTTCTGGCGACTTATCTATACCTCTATTCTAATATAATAAAGCGTAAACACACACTTCTTTGTTGCCTAAGATGTCAGCAATTACAGCATAGTTTTGAATAATTCTTTTTTTAATAAAAAGCCCTACACTTACGTCACGCTTTAGGCTATATATTTTCACGCCATTATATATATAAACATTTTGGATAAAAACCCTAATGTGGGAAAGAGACCATTAGTTGTTGCCAACATTAAGGACATCATGTCATGTCATTTTGACGTTTGCAATTGATAATTTGACATATGTTAAAAATAAATAAAGTTGTACGTAAGTTTATGCGGATGATGCAGGACGGGAACAGTATATAATTAAAAAGATTATCAACTTACCTCATTCATATAATTCCATGCTTGGCACGCCTGTACTGGGCTCAGTGGCTTGTAATGGTTGCCGAATGTATACATATAGAACAGCCATGGTGCAGGAAACAGCATTGTGAACATATCGCATAGTGCCATAGCCATTAGAACGACGTTCGTAGGTGTCCTCATATGACGACGAGATAGTACAACAACGATCAAAGTGTTAGCAACCGTGGTTGTTGCTAGAAGAAATGGGGCGATGTATCTGAAATAAAAAAAAATAGCTCCTAAATATGTTAGCGTGATGTTCTATAGCTATCTAGTTTTCGCTCGCGATTCTGTCCGCGTGGAGTTTAAAAAACAAAAGTTAGTAGCCTATGTGTTCTTCCAGACTATCTTCTACGTCTATGTCAAATATCATCCAGATCCGTTCAGTCGTTTAGGCTACAAACTCTAACAAACATCCATCCAAACTTTTGCATTTATAATATTACTAAGACTAAGATTGCTTTTGTTAAAAATGTAGTTTTTAAACCTACACTAATTTTATAAAGACGAGATATTTTTATTTTTGAAATAACTTAAAAACTACTGGGCCGATTTCAAAAATTCTTTGACCATTCCAAAGCTTCGGTATCAGTGAGTAACATAGGCTATATTTTTTTGTTATTTTTTAATTCTACGCAGACAATGTCACGAGCAACAGCTAGTACACAATAAATAAATGTTATAAAAAACATTCTAAGCTTCGTTTTTTAGTTGTTGTCTTTACTAGTTGGTACACTTTTGGTACAATTCTTCTAATTCTTTTGGATTATTGAAACTTATATACATAAAAGAATTGTCATCTCCGTTTTATAGTAGAGATGGACGAGAAGGATGGCTATATATTTTAGAACTTTTTATTAGTGAAACGATTTTACTTTTATTAAAATTCAAGTTTGTATCTAACTCAGCATAAATATGTTTAATTTTACCTTAAAATATATGCTATTCGATCGTTCATTTCTATAGCCAATTAAATTTAATGAAGCCAACTTACCCATACATCGGTTCCGCATAGTTTATTGGAAACTCACATGTCACGTTCAAGTATACATGTGAATGATTCGACGAGCAATAATCGTCGGTTGTAAAATTGGAATATTCTAGAAAACCAGTTTCATTATCATATAAACTGTAGTTAGTATGTGATGGGACATTTATTCCGTTGTCTATTGTTTTTATATTCGTTATATTCTGTGTTGGGATGTAATCCATCCAATCTTTGTCGTCCGCCATTTTGTTTGTTTTCAGCTATCTCTTGATGTATGACATATTGTTTTTTAAATTCGATGTTATCCTTGATTTTACATCATTTCTTCAATCTGTGGATGAAACAAAAGAAATTAGAATATACATAGTAATAATTGGGAGATTTTTTTTTGTAAGATAAGGTGGTAAACGAGCAAGCGGCCACCTGAATCCGCCAAAATGGCGAAGCGACCGCTGCCCATAGACATCCGCAATTGCAGATGCGTTACCTACCCTTATCCGACAGAGGAGGAGATGCACATAAAGAGGATATTTCCTCTTTCTATGCATCTCCTTCACCGTCAAATCCACTTCCCCTTCTCATCCTCTCCTTATAAGAAAAAGGTGGTGAAGAGAAAGAGATTTAAATGGGAGAGGAAACAACTATCTATGACAGACCTTCATGTGTCTTAAAGTGCGACACATTTATCTGACCCGGTAAAATTGAAACTAAACTACAATAAGCAATATCGTCCTGTGTCAAAAACATCTTTTTTGTGTGACATATCCTTAGTAGATTTTCCCTATTTTCTATCAAAACAGCGTCACATTTATCGCACCTGAAAAGTTATATGCACTATTTTGTGTTAGATATTTTTAACACAAAAATTAATACACAATTCTGACACTAAAATCACATTCGAAGGTCTGTTTGAATATTTTTTTAGCGACTACGTAATCGAAATATCTTTCTCATATAAAATATGGTAAACCGTGCACAGGTTGCGCGGCGATAGGCGTCCGATGTCGTGCGGCTTTGCTGTAAGCTGCCAGTGATGGATGGAGCTTTTGCTGAATGCCGTATACAGATAAAGTCATTTCCTTTTAGAAGTATGATTTTAGACGAACATTTTTATCATACGTTTGGTAAACACCGTTTCAAAGCCAGGTAATTTTTTTTTTAATTTAGAACGTTTCTAGATAAAGATTTCTTTAAAACCAATTTTTTAAATTGTTACAGCTTTTGAAATAGTTTTAATTAATGTTTATTTAAATAATCTTCCCTTTTAATTCCAAAAACAACAACTAGACATTTAGTATTTGCTCGCGTGTGTATCTAGATTCCTAGTAATCGATTATAACATCACTAGCGATAGAGTCACATGGACATCCCTAGACAAACCATTCAATCTTGCACGTCTCAGAGCCATGTATCAAAGCTCTCACGCGCCAGTTATTTGTTAATTCAACCAAAATGAATGTACGAATTAAACATCTTCAAACTAAGTACCGATGTACCGTATGCTGGTGACGTCCGCTCCTGTCGGTGGCTCGGAACGTAATGCCAATTGACAGTAGACGGTGTTGCCATACATTATAATGGTAGCGTCTATTATATCCATATATTACGTAAGTATTTAATATATTTTATATGCGTATAATGTAAATTATTTAATTAACTAAAGGGTGATAGTGTTTGTGACATTAATAAGTTATGAATAAATATCATTATCAAGTATCTGACGTACGGCTTTCCGCCTGTCGACTTTAATTAAGCCCGTGTGAGTTAATTCAAAATTAACTGCGCGTGGGGTTACGCCTTCAAAGTTTTATTGTTTCCGTAACAGAACGTATAACGTTAACTATAAATGTATAAAAGTAACATACATTACTTACTAAATTTGTAGTAGTTAAGACTTCAAACAATTTTGAGGTTAGTTAACTAAAACTAACCTCAAAATGGTTTGAATTTGAAAGTTTTAATTTTGAGTTTAAATCAAATTTTTGTCCTTTGCCCGTTTGAGAGTAAAAATTATGATTAAAAACATCATCCTTACCCTGTCTTTACTTAGTATTGACAAAGTATGCACTCTTTCCATACATTTATTATCTGATTTTACTTCTCTTATACAATCTAACCTATAGTTATATCTTTACTAGTTTTTGCCCGATATCGTCCGCGCGGATTTACAAAAAAAGAGAGTGAGTAGCATATGTGTTCTCCACACTATTCTTTACATCTATAGCAAATTTCATCAAGTTCCGTTTAGCAGTTTAGGCTACAAACTCTAACAAACATCCATCTAACTAAACTTTCGCATTTATAATATTAGTAAGATATAATCTACTTATTTGTGATTTTTTTTATAACATAAGGTGGCACACGAGCAAGCGGCCACCTGAATCCACCAAAATGGAAAGCGACCACTGCCCATAGACATCCGCAATTGCATCTGCAATCTGCATCTGCGTTGCCTATCCTTAATTGACGGAGGAGGAGACTCCCATAAACAGGACATTTTCACTTCCTATGCGTATCCTCTACCGTCAAATCCACTTCCCGTTCCCATCCTTCCCTTATAATAAAAGGGTGGTAAAGAGAAAAGGACTTAAATTAGGCCCCCGGCACCACACTCATCAGACGAAACGCGGAATTGCTTCCACTTCACGCCTGTTTTCTATGTGGTCGTGGTATTACACCGGGCGTGCCGAACCATTCGTGCGAAGATGTTAAAGCGGACTCTACCACTGTTGATCTTCATGTTGCATGTTTAGTTCATTAAATAATAAAGAAAAGAAAGTTTAAAACGAACGTTTTATTCTACAGAGAATCGGAGAGATAAAATTTGATCTCGTTTATTTGTGGATCGTTAACATTTCTTCGAATAACAATCTTCGTGGAACTCATGTTTGTTTTTCCAAGGTTATTGTCCTTTTCCAGGAAAATATTCTATAGAACTCGTCAATTTACATCGAGATTGCTCGCTTAGTCGCTTTTCATAGTAAAGACTCGGGGAAATTTCCGGTTTGTGATTGAAGAGTGAGTTACGTTTGGATCTGGTTTTTGTACGTTTCTTTACTTACAAATTGTTTTTGGGAATTACGATGCATTAAATATTACGTCAGAATTTAAATTGGTTAATTTTGTCTACTTCTACTTTTATTTTTATACTAGCTTTCGCCCGCGACTCCATCCACTTGGGATTAAAAAAACAAAAGTAAGTAGCTTATGTGTTCTTCCAGACTATCCTCTACATCTATACCAAATTTCATCGAAATCCGTTCAGCCGTTTAGGCTACAAACTCTTACAAACAACCATCCATCCATCTAAACTTTCGCATTTATAATATTAGTAACAGTAAAATTATAAAGAGGAAAGATTTGTATTTTTGTAAGTACGAGTATTGAAATAACTCAAAAACAATGGTGCCGATTTCAAAAAATCTTTCACCATTCAAAAGCTACGTTATCGCGGCGTAAGCGAGATATCTTAGCTGTAGTTTTTAAAGCAACTAGAATTTATAAACAAAGAAAAGGTTTACTTGAAAGTAATTGACAAAAATATTCAAAACATTTTGTAATTCATTTCTCTTTGAGAATTTTTAAATTGGAAAACTGTTACGATCAGAAAAAGGGAATCGCTTAAAACGCTTTATTAATGTTACCGTTCTAGCCGTGGGCTCTCACTGTAATGTCCACATTAAATGACATCCTTTTCATTCCCTTCGACAAAATAGAGACAACAATAATCCTTTCTACAGATATGTAGACAGTGTAAACTAACTTTAAAATTGAAAACACTTCAAAGGACATCATTGCTTTTGTTTTCAATTTATTTTCAAAGGTTTACGAGAAATAAATATTCAATTAAGAGAATATAGTCTAAGAAGTTATTTGTATTATTTTCTTTCAAAGGAATAATAAATTAGTTCAATGTACTATAAAAATGAGGAAGGTAGAAAAAAAATCTAATTTATATTATTAAAAAATCGCATATCTTCGCTTAGTTAAGCTGTTTTAAGTTTACCATTAACTTGCGCTTATCTCTAACGGGTCGGCACATATCTGAATCCACTCCCTTCTTAAGCATATACTCTGTCACACAATCTATACTTTCTCCTGTCTTCCTCTACCTTTTTAGCCATCCACATTCAATCTTAACACTTTCTGGCGTATGTCCTTATACTCTCCTCGCATAACATGTCCATACCACAGTTTTAAGTTTGAAATATGAAAATGTTTTTGGTAAATTTCCAAACTTTTTTTTTTAAATTTCCAAATAAGGTCAATTAAGTTTGGTTTAGAGTCCACGGGAACAAGATTGGTAGTCTATATCGTTACGTAGACTGTTAGAGCTTCAAAGTATTGAATACTATAAGCGTTCGCCCGCAACTCCGACTAGCCGTAGCCTGTGTTCTTCCAGACTATCCTCTACATCTATGCCAAATTTCATAAAGATCCATTCAGCAGTTTAGGCGACAAACTCTAACAACCATTCATCTAAACTTTCGCATTTATAATATTAATGAGAAGTAACGTTAGATAGTATGATTTGTCTTTTTTTTTAAACGTATATTTACCACAAATTGTAGTTATCTTTTAGTTGGTATAAATGTTATTGTAATTGTTAATCTCTTGTTTTTCAATAAAATAACTTCTATTTCTATTCTATTCTATTCTTAGTATTTAATAATTAATAATATGTCATGTTTTTATTTGACATTTATTAAACCTCACGAATATCAAATAAATTACTGAAATTCATAGAATTCAAGTCATTACAACATTCATTACATTTGATGGATTTTTTAATTAATCTCCGTTTTCAATTACCAGACCTTTATAAATCTAAATCAATATAATTTCAGTGTCAATTTATCAGTCTGTACAAATGTATTGAATACATGTGTGCAATTGACTTAATTGAAAAATAAGAGCGCGCGCACACCTTTGACTAAACTATCGCACAACTGATCAGTCTGTCATTGATATCTATTAGCTTATATGGACCGCACACTACTCGATTTTTAGTTGTCCAACAAAACAGTTGATTGGACTGCGAAACAAATGACAATCGCACAACGGTTGTGCGATAGTTTAATCAAAGGTGTGTGTCCGTTCTAATGAGTTGAAAAACAAGAGAGTGGGTAACTTAGTACTTGATTTGTAATCTGTCCTGGGATCGAATCCCGCCATATACCAATATGTTTTTCGAATTACTCATAGGTTCCACGACGTTCTTACGGTGAAGGAAAATATCGTGATGTCTGTACAAATCGATAAAGAAATTCAAAGATAGGTGAGAAGTCATATTCAAAGATATGGTGCTCCTAACTTAGGGTGGCTTCGAGA